TTTTATTTTATTTTATTTTATTTTATTTTATTTTATTTTATTTTATTTTATTTTATTTTATTTTATTTTATTTTATTTTATTTTATTTTATTCTTTTTACCTAGCCAATTGTTTTATTATCTATTTGTTACTATCTTTTTTTCTTGTTGGCAAATCAACGCCACACTGCGCTAAAATCGTTATGCAAATGTTGTTACAAATTCACACGTTAATTAAGGAGAAGCCCACACCGGCGGGTGCATAACTCGCTTGTACTGGCCAGCCAGTCGACCAATCATGCGGCATGCCACAAACTGGCCGCAAGGAATACACGTTTGTACATACATTTATGTCTGTATTAATGCCGATTTGAATGGGGCCAACTATGCATATAGATATTAAGTCATTACGCTAACTACTTAAGACGGACTGAAGTAGACAAGCGTACAAGTGAATTCTGGCTAGACAAGTATGTTTGAGTGTATGAAGCTGCATACAAATGTTATTTGCTCTTGGCACACACTACATAAGCCAACAACCCGCTGAGCTTTAGGTTTCGTCTTTTATGCGCGAAGGATTTGCATAAATAAATCACTTGGTCTATTTTACAGCAGCTCACTGAGTGATGTTTAGCACATCTAGCACATGCAGAGCAGCATTTAGGTTTGTGCTATATATACTAAGGTGGTCCCTAAAATATCAATATAAGAATTGTGTACTGGATGTACAAAGCTTTAGTTCGGCCCATAATCTCTTAGGGGCGCTGGTTTGGTGGCCAGCCCTTACTAAGGACTACGTAGTTAAAAAGCTAGGCGGAGTTCAAAGGTCGGCAGCCGCTAGCGTAACAGAGATCCTGTCCGAAGGATGCAATACCGTCTGAAATTAAAGCGCTGCCCACTGACTATATCCTGTCAAAGACTTGGGTTCACCATAAACCCCGCACGAAATTCCCAAGCCGCAGTGACTGGAATCAGGAAAAGGTCGGATTCTTGCAGGGCTTTACTGTATTTACGGATGGGTCAAATATGGAATGCGAAGTGGGTGCAAGGGTTTTCATTGAGCAACGTAACCTAAAGTTTTCCTTCCGCCTATCGCACTATGC